AGAATGTGATGGAAATCAAGCTGATACTATAATGTTCTCGGTAAAGGAGTATCCATGCAGAAGCCACCTGGTAAGCGTGTTGAGCGATTGCCTGACAGCTTAGAAAGGCTGGGCGCTGAAATCTGATGGCACATCTCTACCGGCCTCTGGCTTGGGCCTGTGGATGGCGTCCTGGCAACGAGTTGCTGGCTGATGCTGGCTGATGCTGGCAGAGCAGATCACGTCTCTTGGGCTGGCCTGGCTCGCATGCGCATGCGCATGCGGCGCAAAGGTCCTGGTCCTGTAAGCAAGGGCTCTCAGTGAACCAATCACCTGTTGCCGGCCTTTCTGAAGCATGAAACACAGCAATTGGCAAAGCCTGTCCTCTGCACACAAGTGCCATCCTTGCAGTGCGACTCGATCTGCTTCATCCTTAGAAGGGATTGCAGGTCAGACCGAATCAAGCCATGCTTTCACATTCCGGGATGCTTCTCAACACACAGCGGTGAGGATTCACGGAAGGCCCTCCCAGCGAATCCCAGGGAATGCCTTGATAGCCTTCAGTCACCTACCAAACTAACGTGCCGAGTGCGATAGACTGAGCTCACTGCTCTTCGTGGCCGTTATTGTTGAAGTACACATACGACTTCATGATGCCTGACCCGCTTAGTCGCAAGCAAAGCACTGATTCTTGCTGTGTTGCCGTGTAGGCCCTAATCATCTTGCCGCAACATCTGGGGACTTGCACTTTCAGGCTGGTGTCAACACGCCCCTGGCTACGACCATTAGCGAGAGGCTCTACCCCTTGCTGTTCTCCGGCCGCCTTCGCTTTTGAGGTTTGCAGGCGGAGGCACTGCATCTTGCCTGCATTGCAAAGCTACCATGGTGGTTTTGCATGTTTTTTGTTGCACTACTTCAGTGGCAACACAGATTCAGCGGCTGCAGTTGCAGCGTTGCACATCTCTGTTAGCACGCGTCAGGCACTGTCAGGGCCCTTTCACACAAACCCACCTTGCCTGCTTCAATATTATTTAAAAGACTGGGGTTGCTGTTAAGGAACTTAGATTTAGTTACTACAGTAAGGAAACCCTATAATTTGTCATATACCCATATTATGGTAGCTTATCTTAAGCTCCTTTACAGAAAGCTAACCCAAACATATAGCCTATCATAATATACCAGTTTTTATCTTTTCCATAATCCCTGTAATAATATACCCAATATCTACCCTATTGTAATACAGCAGTTTCCATGTTCATTATCTTTATAAATACAGCCAAGATATACTGTTTCCATTCTTTTTTCCACTATCCCTATAATACTACCCCCACTACATATACGCTATTGTAGTATATATGGTAGTCTCCATTTTCTTTCCCCATGATACTACCCCCATTACATATACGCTATTGTAGTATGATAGTCTCCATTTTCTTTCCCATCATCCCTATGATACTACTCCCAATATATATTCTGTTGTAAGGTACTAGTTTCCATTTTCTTTTCCATTATCCCTACCCTATTGCAATATAATAGTGTCCATTTATCTTTTCCATTTTCCCTATGACAATACTCCCAATATATACCCTGTTGTAAGATAGTAGCGTCCGTTTTCCATTATCCTTATAATAAAACCCCCCAATATATACCCTATTGTAATATAATAGTTTCCAGAACCCAAAACCCTAAACCCTAAACCCTAAACTTTCCGTTATCCCTATACTATGCCAAAGTAACAGCAACCAGGTAGTCTCCATCCCAGGCCAGCGCCTGATATCATCTGCGGTGTAGCCGAAGAGTCGGCGAGCCTCAACTTTCATCCATGGATAAGATGGAGACTACTGGGTTTAGGGTTTAGCATTTAGGATTTAGGGTTTGGGGTTTCGGTTTTGGGTTGCTGCTCAGGAACTTACACTAGGTTACCATATGATGGGTAGGGTTCCCTTGTTATAGTAACTTAGTGCAAGTTCCTTACCAGCAACCCAGACTAGGCACACCAAACGCTTCAGCGCTAAAACTTCCATACTCTTGCACAAAACGGCTAGGCTCCCGGTCCTTTGGCTGTCTGAACATGTATTTCATTAGTAACCCTTTAATCAATAATCCTTTAAATCTTCCATGTTCTTTTCCATTTGGTTCTCCAGCATTGTGTATTGGGGGGAATATCCCTGAACCCGAAGCCCTGAATAGTAGTTACCATGAAATTTTCCAGCTGCTCTTCCATTTGATTCTCCATTATCGCTACAGACCTTCTAAAATTCCTAAATATTAACCCTCTATAACAACTATTACCCCCTCAAAGGGCTTACACACATCACGTCTAACTCGTTGAGGCTCCTCAGCACTGGGCAGAATTAGCGACGCGGTGCCTGGCTTGGCGTGCCAAGAGGGGCTTAGAGCTTCAGAGTCCTAAGCACTGGGTTTCAGGATCAAGTTAAGAAGAGTTCAGGGCGAATTTAGAGTCGAAAGCGCAGGGTCTCAGGAGATTAGGAATTGGGATCCTCGGGTCTCTTTTGAGCGGGTTTAAGAGCTTAGGGTCGAGGGTTTAGGGTTCAGAGTCTGTACAGTGTTTGCGGCTTAGGCTTACGGGTTCCAGCAGGGATTGCGTTCTGGGGTTCTGAGGAGTAAGTTTTGGGATAAGGCTGAGAGTGAATCCCATTCCTGGAAACTTTCCGTAACCCCATGATTGCAAACCTTCAGCCCTTTCCCGCTGCCAAGTGGCGCCAAGTGGTCGAAGCTGTCCCAAACTAGGCCCGGCCCCTGAAAGGGCGCACCTGGTCAAAGGCAGCCATATCCCTGACCTCTAAATGGCCCCTGTATACTATGGTAGTTTCCATTTTCTTCTCCATTATCCTTATATTACTACCCCGATGTGTAGGGGGATCCCTAAAGCTGAAGCCTTGCACATACGAAGCCCGAAGTTCTTCATGGATCCCTCAACCTCGCAGAGGTCTCTTTCACTTCGTAACAACTTGGTCTTGGAATCCACGATTCCTCCTTCAACCTCCCTGGATTGAGAGACTTCCTGTTTTCAGGATGTTCTATTCTGACCGAACTTTTGGCACAGGAGCATCTTCTCAAAACTGTTGCGCAGAGCCGAAGCCTGCACAGAGCCGCGGCTTGGAGGCCTTGCCGGATGCAAATCCAAGGGCTTCAGAAGACAATGCGGCAGGTCATGATACATATAGGACTTGGCCTAAATCACTGTTCCCAACATGGGTGAAATGCATATTGTAGCCCGTGTGATCATGAATTAAGGGAAATCCCCACCTACTGACACGTACGACGCGGTGGAGGGCATTCAGAAGAACTACGGCTAGCAAGTAGTCATAGCTAGAGAGATGTAAATGTTGCAAGGCAAAAAATGCCAAGGGCACACTGGGCAAATGCAAGCAAAGAGCTCTGGTCGGTGTTCTTACGCGGATGATCTGTGGCATGACCTCAGTCACCCAGAGAATGTTGCTGCCGAGCTGGGTAAGAGACGTTTGTAAAATTGAGTACGGCTCAATACCTCAGCAAAAGCAGAGGCTCTGTCGGAAAATCTGGCTCTCGTTGGGATCTCTGCTTTTCTTGGAATTGCCACTCTGCTGAGCCACCTGCATCATTGGACATAGTCTCGCAGTCATCCCCGGAACAGGTCACCTGCCCAAAGCGCCGAAAGGCAAGTTGAGAAAACCCTCGTTGTGGAACCGAGCCATGCAATCAACCACGGCTTTTTCAGTCTTGCTGCCTTTGTCTCGTGCACCTGCTCTTGTCCATCGACTTTCGAGTATGCGATAGCATGCCTGCAGAAGGTCGCGAGCATGCAGGGCTTCGTACTCTCTCTGTCCCCGAAAGTCCCCACCATGAGTGTCACGCCTCAAGCTTCGAGGTGGAAGTGCTGGGAAGCAGTCAGCAGGTAGCACTCCCTCCTTCAAGCAAACGGCATATGCACCAGGTGCCCGTTCAACTTTTCACAGCCAAGAGATTCCCATGGGAAAGTATCAGAAAGTATCCTGGCCAGGCTGCTGGCCGCCCAGGATGCCCCAGTTGCTCGGCACGCCTCTCAGGAAGAAGTCGGAAGAAGTGCAACAGCCGCTCATTTTGCAGTGGTTTGCTGCAAACTGCATGTGTAGACATGGCGCATACTTTTCACAAAAGTGGCCCCCTAATATCCCTTTGTAATCCCCATACCCCTGAAATCGAATGGATATCCCTGCGTCAGAAAACCCCTATTGTTATACCGGCGGCTTGCCTCGGATATCAAAGCGCCCAGGATGCCCATGGCCGGTCTTTGGCACCTGCCCAGTAAAGGCAGTACTCAAGCCTCCAAACCGCTTAATCACAACACTAATCCTTCCTGACCTGCTCCGCATGGTGGGTTGCAGCAATTTCCCGAATTTGCAGTCAGCACGCCCGAGAAGGTCCGTGCTGAGTCAAGTTACAAGGCAGTTGTGAAGAGACAAGCTCCCCAACTACGCAAGTAGCAACAGGTAACAAAGCATCCCCAATGCATCAACATGAACCAAGCTGCCACGGGACTTCAACTGAATGAGGCAAATAAAAGCATAAGCTTCAAAACACCACGCCCGCATCCCGGCTGTACAAGGAAATGGTAGGTACAGACTAAAGCGAGCGAAAAAAGTCAAACATCCTGGCAAATCATACAGCCCCCAGACATGTCTGCTTGAATTCTATGAGATCCTCAAACCTCCACTTAAAAAGAGATGGTGAGAACTCTTCCGGATGAAAATTATGTCCTTGTCATCCAAGGCCGTGTAGTGCGACAGGAAACTTGGATCGGAAAAAGTAAGGTTGTGCGGCAGACAGCAGGCTGAATCTAGTGCGCATGAGGCGGAAGTCACACACATGTCCGCAGCAAGGCCGAAATACTTCTATTGCACCAGCAAAACTGCTGCTGCAGTCTGTTCTTGCACTCGGCCTGTTTTCTTCGCGCCCCTGCGTCTCTCCGCATGAGATGGGACAAGGATGTCCAGAGGAGGTCAGGATACAACAGAGCTCACTGCCGTCGCTTGCTGGAACTACTGCAAGCATAAGCTTTCCGAAATCTCCGGAGGAACTTCCGCGTGCATAGTGTCACAGGGGTGGCAAAACCATGCGATAAGCAGGTATCGGTCTTCCGCACCTTACATGGTTAAGGATCCAGACCACATGACAACACAGTTTTGGAAGGGGCCTACTTTTTTAAGGCCAGATCAGGGAGAGCCAGATGAGCTATAGTCTAAACTCCTAGTATCCCCCCTTTTCTAGAGTAGTCCCCCATATAATCCCCTATGTAACCCCCCTTTAAGGAGTTTAGACTATAGCTCAGATGCTGCCGGTGACCCTCTGTATGCCGAGCAGCCTTCGTGCCTGACGCTGTGGATATACGTGTCCTTAGGGTTTAGGGTTTAGGGGTTTAGGGTTTAGGGTCTAGGGGTTTAGGGTTTAGGGTTTAGGGTGTTTTTTTGTCGGACCTAGGGTTTAGGGGTTTAGGGTTTAGGGTTTAGGGTTTATGGTGCTGTGCAGATTTGTCCAACCGCTGGCCGGGCCATTCAACCATATTATAGTATAGCATAGTAGGTTGTGATATATTGTAGTATGTGAGTATAGTGTAGTATACTAAAGTATCTTGTTGTATATTGTAATATATTAACATATTCTAGTATATTGGGATGTTGTAGTATATTATACTATATTATGGTATGTCAGTATATTGCAGTATATCATAGTATCTTGGATTCTATTGTAATATACCTCTGTGCCCTACCTAGATTGCTGCCGCCAAGCAACATCGAAGACCACAGCCTCCAGCGATTTCGGTACAAGTAGTGGCTGGGACAATGCCTGCCCTTGTGCTGCTGTTTCATGCGACATCTGCACAAGCAAATGTTTGATTCATGCACGCGACTTATTTGAAAGTGGAGGCCTGACACGTCTGCAAGCTGCCAGAACCGTTTGCCGGGTGGAGACACTGACATGTTGTTTTCCATGCATCGTATGTGACATCTCTGGAGCAATTTGTGCCTTAAAAGGCTTTCAACTCTGGGGCAATGAACCGGCGGCCTTGCCCTGCTCCCAATGAAGCTCCTCAGCTCCCACGGCCATGGTAGCGCCTGCAAAAGAAAGGCAGCCAAAGAACAACCTGGGAAACCAGAGCAAAAGACTGAGATTAGAAATGACAATGAAACCAACTTAAGTAGCGACGCAAAATGATGGATGGCGGCTGAGACAACAATCAACAAGAGCACGTCAACCGCCTTTGCACGATGGCAATCGGCACATCAGGGTTCCGGAAGCATCTCAAGAGCAGTTGAAGGTTCCACCATCACACCCATTGAAATCCCTGCATGATGAAACCTGTCACAGCCACAGCAGCAGCAGCAGCAGCCCTGTCTCACATTCGCAAGCTTCTGGCTGTGAGACTGGCAATCCAACTTCCCTTCCAGCCTGGGGGCGTGATGAGACCGAGATGCACTGCTAGCCTGAACGTGTTTGGGGCAAAGGTTAAGGGGTTGTCCCTTCCTTCTCAAAGTCCCTAAGGCATGCCCTTAATCCACTGCTCCAGATGTGAACGTACGGACTGCTTCAACACCAACATTCTGGCCGTAACCTGAGCTTTTCTTACAACATGGTGCAACACTGGGCCAGGCTTAGATATAACAGCTTGACAGCAAGTTACCCGGCACTGAGACAACTGAGTCAGATGCACAAGCCCAGCCGCCTTTGCTACTGCAGCAATTCTGCAGCAGTGGTATCTAAATGCTATCCCCACATCAAAACTGGCCTGGGAGGAGCATTCCACAGGTGCCTCAGTGCTTCAAGTATCTGGTCAACCCAAAACCTTCATGAGTAGTAGACCATAAAAAGCTCCAGCAGCTTGCGCTTGACACTTCTGATCCGGCAAAGCTCGCAAGTTCTTGGGATGAACCATGCCTGATTTTACGGCTTGAGAAGTATTTATAACATACGACCAAAGCTGAGGCAAGGGGCGGTTTGATCCCCATGCCAGGTTGCAGCCGAGCGAAAGCCGCACCCACGTCCCTGCAAACGGATCGCATGGGGCATCTTTGGGATCATCGGCCCTCGGAGGTGAGGCGTGACCGGCATCCGAAGGCTCTGGACTACTTGGATAAGCAAAGTCTTACAGCAGGCACTGCATGGTATAGGCGGAGGCAGTTGGGCAACGGCCGGGACAGTTCAGGGCACCCTGCAGAACAAGAAAGCTTCGGAAAGAGTGCGTTGTTGCCACACAGAGGAGCCAATGGAGAGCTCTCATACTTACCAGGAGGCCCTAGGCCATAGATCAATACACCCTAGGATGTGCACTCCCTCAGATACCCCTGGTTAAGCAGCCCCCCAACCGCCTCGCATGGCAGCGTGCAATTTCTGGCCGTGCAGCCAGCAGCTCGCAGCTCCTCTTAGCCACCTGTGCAACGGCTCATGGGTTGCGGCGATTTCTAGAGATGTATCATAATATGAAGGGTTGCATAACGATATCTTGGGATATACAGGGATGCACAATGACATAGCAGCAGATATATGATATATGTACATAATATAGAGGTGACAATAAAGAACTTAACAACCCTGAGATGCCATTGTTGCGTTTCCTAAGCTTTTCCTAGAAACCACCAGTGACACAAGCTCTCCGCTTCAAGAGAATCTGTTGGCAGAGGGGTTTCTCAAAAAAAGTCCCACTTTGGATTTCAGGGTGTCATCGGGACCCCGTCTTAAGGAAAATGCAAAGATGAATTTGAGGAATCCCAGCATGACATTTCGCGTTTAGAGTGAGTAGCCCTGCATAGTCAATCCCCTCTGCAGCACCTTCTGCCCCAAAGAAAATTTTCATGCACCCTGACTCGCACAGCAGGGCCAACCTCACAGGCATGAGGCGCCAGCTCTCGGTTGTGGATCCTGAGGCTCACAATAGCAGTTTGTAGCGTTTGGGGTTTACGAATTTGGGATTTTGGGGGTTTAGGGGTGTACGTGCTTTGAGTTTTACATACGAGGCAAGACTGGCAGACTCACATCAAGAGTCAAAGCGATAGCGAATGTATTTGTGTAAGTACGCGAAACGGGCAGAATTGCTATCTGAAAACAAATATGAACCATGGCATCTGTACGTATCATTGCTGGTCACCATACAGATCATGCAGATAATTTTCTGCAGGTCTCAAAATGTCTCAAACAACACTTCACCTGCCGTTGACCAGAATGGTGCCCTGTACAGTTCATTTACTCGGGGTAGCCTCACATTCAAAACCACTCAAACATGCGCACGAGCCGCTAACGAAAAAAACGCCCAACCCTCTTGCTCAAAACCTCACCTTGGCATGGCTGACAGACTTGTAGCATCTTCGTTTGCTTATCAAACTTCAGATCGTCAAAATAACCGTCTGGTTGCCAGAATACCTAGATCCTGATCATGAGGACCGTGAGACACAGTCGGGCCCAATTTTGATCAATTTTGTCCGCGCGGCAAGTTGAGCGGGGCCCAGGAGTCACGACGGCCTGAGAACCTGGGAACTGGGGATTTTAGTGATTGGTGCTCACGCTTGCAGAGTTTAAGCTTCAGGGGTGTGTGAAGGCTTGAAGATCTGGACATGGTGCTATTTGACAGTGACTGCAGCTCCTCCTTCCATCATTTCATCATACATGGTGTCACTATGTTGCGGCTGTCCCTGACAATGTTTTTGTGCATCATTTGCCAGAGCTTTTTGGCTGTTGCCTCCTTATGATTCTCATCATGACTTCACATCCCTCATCACTCCGAGTACTCATGATGCTGTCACCGTTGCTCTGAACCGACATTGTTGTCTTCAAGCTGTGGGGCTCAGTCTCGAAGAAGTCGCTTGGGGGAATCCGGATGTCCATTCATACTAATCTGGAAAAGGAACAGCTAGACTTGCGGACATTCGTTACAACAACTTGCTGAGATTAGTAAAAGAGCCACAAGGTTCATGCAAACGTGCCAAGCACTTGTGGAAGTGGTGTCAGTGAAACATCTCGCAACGGACACTCCGACGACAACATCGGGAACCCTCCACGCTCTCCCCTTTGAACCAATTTCATCCAGGAGCTGCGTCATGGAGACATGGCCCATGAAGTAAAGCGAGTCAAAGCTGCTCTGATTCAGGATCAGGTCCTGGTCAACACTGCCTAGAGCGATGAAACCCTAAACCCCAAACCAGAGAGAGAGAGAGAGAGAGAGAGAGCTGGACCTAACTCATGGTGTCTGATATGGTAGAAGCAGTTTCTCAAAATAGCAGGGACCCCAATGGAGACCCCAAATGCTATAATCCTAATTGTTGGGACCCCAACGGCACCCCTATTTGTGGGAAACCCCCATTTTGATGCCTGCAGTTGTGACCTGCCTGCAGCCGAGTTTCAAGATCCTGCCGGAAGATTTGGTAGTTCCTGAAATGCAAACTTGAAGACTTGAAGATGCAGAGCAACGCTCCTGGAATCCCTGGCAAAGCCCAGAAAGTTCGATGTATGCTGACATCTGAAACCCATGCAGCGATCGCATGATTATGTGAGATGGCAGTACATGTGCAATTAGGACGTGGCCTCGCTGACAGTAGTATGCTCATACTGTGCGCAATGGCAGTCCTGAAGCATATGAACATCTAATATATGACTGAGGTGGTAGGGCTTCATGCTCATCTGCAGAATTGGCGGCGATAGCAATGGCAATGGCAGCAGCCACTGTATCATGCCCTGCTTTGGAAGCACGCACTTTTGCAGCAGAGCAGCTCCTCCAACCAAATGGCGATGGGGACCTGAGTTTCAGCGAGAACATGGCATCGTCTGCACTTCCAGCCAAACTCCTTCTGAGAGTGCTTCGGCACAGAAGCTGTGGGAGAAGCGGACGAGTAACCGCGAAGTTGAAAGCCCTGCTTACGAATATGCTGTGGCCGCTCGGCGCCTTTGAAGTGTTTACCGATGGAAGCCTCCGACACCTTCAGAAATCTACAGAGCACAACATAAGTGAGCCGCAAGCGGCAGCTTCTTCCGCCAGCCATGCTCATTAGCGGACATGACTTTGAGCACGCTTCATGATCCCAGCCGGTGCTGAATTCCACACGCCCAGGGTCAAATGGAGAGATCTTGAAAGAGCTTGGCAAGCCGAATGAGGCATGGGCCTAGTTGTTACGTCCTCTGGGAACATCCTAATTCCTAATCCTAACATCTCGCTGTGTCTCTGATACAACTTCAATAGCTGCACAGCCGATGACGGAAGTGCTTGACTGCCAAACCCTCAAGCTTCCATGAGTAAAGCAACGGAGTCATCCAGGTTCTGTGCTAGAAGGGATACCCAAAAGGCTCTACAACTATCTTAATACAGTTTAGAATAGACGGTACACAAGGGGCCCCAGTAGATATTTCCATCTAACTGTTCTACTTTGAGAAAGTACCCATCAGCCAAGCCGCGGAGTTTGTGGGCCATACAGGCCGCTGGCGGAAGCCCTCTGGAAAGACCTTGTGGTAATCTTTATGCATCCGTATAGCTCGTCTGCAGGGTAGCGAATGAGTACCCCAACAAACATCTAATGACTAGACCTAATGAATATGCCATGGGGCGTGAGAGTTGGTGTTGATGTCGTACAGCGACTCAGGGCATGCGTGCGGACAAAATCTTATGTTTTGCATACCGGTAGCTGCAACACAGGCCACGTGGTCTTGACTACTGCCCGTCATTCAGAGCGTCCATCAAATGCCCTAAAATACGTTCAAGCAACTACGAAGACAAAGCACAAGCTACAGGTCACTTGCCGCTAGCCTGCCAGCGGCGAAAGCTGAAGAAGGGATACTCCTTGAGGTCTGCAAACCTGCTCTTCATGCAGGCAGGGAAGCCATGGCAAATATAGCAAAGGATTGGAGCGAAAGTCCCACACAGATCACTCCACACGAGCTTCCTGGTAGGCAGTACTCAAACCTTCAAGCTATGCTTGCCAAGGCCATGCTTCAGCTCCACAAACTGACTTCAGGACGAGCGGCAGTTCATTGGCTCTCTGCAGCATCCCTGCAGATTTCACCAGGTCCTGCATAACCGGAACCCATCAAGTCCAAATCTTCTTTTCCACTTGGAAATACAAGTTCGGCATGCAGTCTGCTTGAACTGATTCCTCATTCGATCTCATTCATCTTGAATCCTATGCCTGTCGATATGAACATCTCTCGTTTCAAGCATGTCTGAAGCTTAAGGTTGATTTGACGTCCTTTCGTCGAGCTGCGAATGCAGTTCCCACCTCTCGGTGGAGGGTTGAATCCCCAAACGCTTGTTAGCATGACTGTGCATGTTGAGCTATAAGTACCTTTGCGACTGGGCAAGCTTCGGCTAAGTCCGCAAACAATCCAAAGCTATTCGGTAAGGTGACCCAGACAGGGAGGTGTACTTCAGATCTCGCTAGCAGGCAGGATTTTTGCCGTGCCTCTGCACAGAGCATAATGAGGAAGAGCCACCGTTCATGACAAACCTCCGTCACACATGGCTGGAAAGTCTACTCTTCGTTTGCATTCTCCTTTCTGTCAGTTGCGAACAAGCAATTGAAAACTACATGTAACATAGATATTAGAATTTGGCCGCTAAGAAAGCAAGAGACAATCAAAACTTCTTTCAGCCTGCCTTGCTCAGGAAGGTGCCCACTCCCATGGAAAGATCGCTGCAGCCACTGTGCTGCAAGCCTAGGGTCCGGGGTGAAGAAGTTAGGGCTGAGTGTTTCAGTTCAAGGCTTTGGCTTGGAAGGAAAGAATTTTTCAGGCAAAATTTACGCCCTGTGTTAGAGGACTTCTCTCACACTTGCGCTTGCAGCATCATTCACTCCGAGATATCCAGTGATATACCATGCTGGTAGCCCTGAGTCCGCAACTGAGGTCGTGAAGACGCACTGCCAAGTCTGCAGCCTCCCCAAGCCGTCGTGATAAGTGGCAGCTAGAGGATGAACGAGGGTAGCCACCCGAACAGCAATTTGACAATGACTGCAGCTACTACTAGCGCCGCCACAACTACACTACCACCAGAGCTTTCACGACTAAGGGTACTGGTACCAATACCGCTATCGCTACTCTGCCACTGCTGCTGCCACTGGAACTGCCGCTGCCGCGGCTGCTGCTGCTGCTGCTCCCGCTACTGCTCCCGCTGCTGCCGCCACTGCCTCCGTGACTTCCAGCTACTGACTGCGGCGACAGCCAAGGAGACGACAACTGCTCCTATCCTGATGATGATTGTGACTGTTGTTTCCTCTACGCTGGATTGATGGGAAGGCCTCGGAGTAGCTGGCAACAGTGGTCTGACCCTGGATCATGTAGCCACTACCAGCCACAGCATTTGCAAGACGTGAGTATGGGAACCGTGCGATGCAGTTTGAACAAGCGCAAGACATATCATCACAGAAACCGTCGAAGAGGCGGCAGTAATGTAGATGTAGCAGCATCAACAGCACCATGAACAAAAGCACAGACTTTGCTGAAGGCAGGCAGCAGCTTAACCGCACGTCTCAGTTAAGCGTGAGGTAATGTGCGTAGCCGTCAGTCCCAGTCCCAGTGCAGCAGAGTGTAGGCATTGGAAGCCAGCAGTGTACAATTCTGAGGCGACTGGATGTACCGGGTTGCTGCTTGAAATACCAGATATGGAAATCCTCTGAGCTAGTAGATGACCTCCGACCAAGAACATGCCGGCCTCCAGGTCGATTCTGCCGCCGTTGCCCTCAAACCAGAAGTACGAGTAAAGAGCTTGACCTCAGGCTCATGGGAAAATATAGAAGCCTGAAGAACTAGGAGCCCTTGAAAAACGGCTTCTAAGAATGACATGGGAGTCGAGAGTATATTGGCTTTGGTGAACACGGTTCGGAGTACAAGACCCAGAACTTCTTAAACTTCAGGCCCGTACACTATCCCCCCTAACCTGACCCTCTTTCATAAAATCCAACCTTGCCTTGAAGAAGCCAATGATCTGTCCGCTGTAAAGTTGCCATGCTCCCACAGTGTCTTAACGGATCAATTGGAACCTGGAATCAAACCATGGAAAAAGACGCTGTACTCCAGCATCTTCAGAAGTCAGCATACGCTCATCAATCCCCAAACCCAGGTTGGAGCACATTGCCCGCTATGAGGCTGTCACTTTGTTGCATCTGGCTCTGGCTCAACAACTTTGATGGTCACAAAATGGAGCAATCTCACACCAACACCCGCCCAAACAAGCTTGGCACACAAGGCGGACCGCCATCTTCAAACTACAAGAGCCAACACCCAATCGCCAAACTCCCAATCATGCAGAGTCTGTGTGAAATCCAAATTTTGTCACAGACCTTGCAGCATGCTTCTAGACATAATTCCATGACTGCTTCAGATCACAACTCCTCTCCTAGGATCCCTCCTACCAACCCTCTCCATATTCCTGGTCTCAACTTTTCAAGCCTGTGTTTCTGTAGGTGCCCGGGCCGACACCGAAGGCCAAGGAGGGCAGAGCAATGGTGCTCACCTCAATGGCGCTGGGGATCGGTCAGAACGGAATGAAGGAAGGACAAAGAAAATCGATACAATATTATAGGGATAGAGATGCTGTTTTTAATTCTGGTATCAATGCCCCAGCGTTAGGGTTTACTTGCTCCCACCCTTGCGCAGTCTTGCATGCGTGGGCATTTAAACGTATTTCCAAATCGTGTACACATATGTATGCATAGTCAACATGCATCAGGAATTATATGGGCTTTGCATCCCCTTGCAAAGACCAATAGGCGGGATTTAGAACAGCATCCATAAAGCGAAGTGGAAAAGACACTGGAAACGACTGTATTGTGGATAAATATATATATATATATAGGGCCTACAATGAGGATCCATTCATGCATTTCTTGCCAACCGGCAAGTTTGCGCCTTTACAAGTTGGATCAAGGCAATCAAGGCATATCAAGGCGCTCATGCAAACTGGGATGTTTCAAGGACCACGGGCGCGTTGTGGGGCTGGGCACAGTAGGGCCTTCATTTCCTGGGCAACCTTCAATGTCCTGCAACTGAGGGCTTGGGTATCTTAGGCAACTTAGTCAGTCGGCGTCATGATTCACGGTTTTGCGTGCAAAAAGTGCCCATTGAAAGTCTAGAAGTAATAAAGTTGACGAGCTTTCCTGCGACAAAATCCTATAGTAGCTCCCAGAATCATTCCTCCCCAAGCAGGCCTGTGCCAAGTCCTTCAGCTGTGCAAAAGCAATGCTGCGTTGGGCAGGCAAATCCCATGCCTGTGACCACCTCGGACGTGAATATGGAGACATCACGAAATTTGGGTCTGTGATTTTGTCGAGGCTGCGGCTCCACGCAAGAAGAAATCAAAAACTCAAATTCTCAGCATAGCAGCGGCTACCATGTGCATTCTCAACACGGCTGTTAGCTGACCACCTGCGCCTCACCTCAACGTGAGCATACTAGGTGTAGTCATCACCAACATTTGTCAACAGAAAAGGTTTTCATAACAGCAATAGCAATGGTTTGCAGCAGTACTGGCGGCGGTTGCCGTTGTTGGTAAAGTAGTCGTTTCCTTGTTTTTCGTTTACTGCCGCTACTACCAATACAGTTGTTAAGAAGAAGAGGAAAAGGTGGCGGCAGATGGTCATGGTGTTGTTGTAGTTGCAATTGTAGTTGTAATTGAGCTTATTGCTGTAATTCTACTTGTACTGATTGTTCTGCTTGTAGCTGCAGTCGCAGTAGCAGTACTAGTACGTAATGCAATAGCAGTAGCAATCGGGCAGCGGCAGCCGTAGAGGCAGGCGTCGCGGTAGCGGTAGTGGCGGTGGCAACAGCGGCAGCCATCATTTTTGTAGCAGCGGCAGAAGTAACTGTTGTTGGTGACATTGCGTTGCAGTTGCAGTAATAGTAGTAGTGTAGTAAGACAAGAAGTAGTCATAGTCCTGGTAGTAATCATCGTCCTACTTGTCGTACAAGTTGTCGTAGTAGCTGTAGTTGTTGAAGTAGTAGAGGTGGTTGCAGAAGCAGCAGCAGTAATGCTTTTCGTTTTTTACGTAGAATAGTTCCTCCTGCCCCCGCCCCATGGCGGCGATGGACACCAGAGGATTCATGTCCTAACCATTAACCCTGCCAGTTCCTGGTGCATATGCTGCCCGTCCCCAAACAAACCATGCTGTTGCAATTTGCTCGTGCCCGAACCACACTCAAGTCAATTTGGAGAGCATCCGTGCTACAAAGCATAACAACCTCAGTCTCCAAAAGAACTTGCTAGAACATGTACGCCGGACAACTTGCTAGAACATGTACGCCGGACTCACCATGCGGTCATGCCTTGTCAATGCTGGCTTTCTGCAAATGTGGATTTGAAGATTTGGGAAGCACCAGAGGGCCAGCAAGGCCGCTGCAAGGCGGGAGACTCTACATGAGCCAATGGACAGGCGGGTGGGGGAAGTGTTGCGTTTGTGGGTGGCAGTAGTGGTAGCGGTCGAGACGGCAGCCTGCAGTAGCAGCTGCCAGCAGCGGTAGTACAGGCAGCAGCGGTGGTAACTATCATGTCACTACCTGCTTACTAGCCAAAGCAAGACACAACAGTAATAACGATAGTAACGATAATCAGCCCAAAGGCAGCTAGATGGCATGATGTCATCCAACCACTTGTAGATGATGCCAAGATTTGCGGACTCATTCTTGGTGAAGGCTTCAGAGCCTGCCAACAGCATCACTACGCTCTGCGAGCGACAATGGCTTTTGCCACTGACTTGACACGTATGTCATTGCTGCGCCGCGGACCCTGTTATTACAGATGTCATAGACGCCATGAAGCAGAACCGCCTAAGAAGAGGTCGCTCTCCTGAATCTGCTGGCCTCCTGAATGTGGAATTGCGACAGTGGTAAGGCAAGGGTATTACAGGTTTGGGACTGGAGCTCAGCTCCTACACTTTATCAATGGCATGCTCATTCCCGAAGCCTCTTCAAATACGCTCAAGCTCTGCCAAGCAAGACACACCTCCCGAGAGGAACCAACGTTCAAGTTCGCGTTATTGTGCTGTCTATGATACTCCTATAAAGCCTTTGCTCCAAAATTGCAGGCAACGCTCCGACACTTTGCCCAACGTAGCCGCAGCCGAGTCTCCAAGCTGCCCGGCCAGGCTACCTAATGCCGGCGGCAGAGCAACCTTGGCACTCAGAGAAGGGTTAAAGGAATTGAGGGTTTAAGGGTTAGTTGTTCAGGTTTCTTGGTTTAGGCTTTGGGTGTGGACTCCACTTGTAAAACGGAACTTGACCGAACTCAAGGGAAGAGGTTAAGGAGCACAGGTTCCGGGTCGCCATCCGCCGAAGAAAACCTAGGGGCTCTAAAAACCTTCTGTGCCTAATGGCTTCAGGCTTGTGGGGCAAGCTCATACGCATGAGAATGATAGTGACTGCTGAAATACGGCAATGGTCCTGCAGGTAGTAAGAGCAACAACAGCCACTGTCCAGCTGACAAAGTCAGCCAGAAGAAGGACAGAGAAAACTCTAATCCATGCAAGCGGCAGGGGCAAGATGAAGAAGCAAAGACTTCATGGCTCTCCATACTGAGGGCCCATTCCCATGGGCCGCCTATGATATATTGATTTGAGGGTGTAGGATGGGATGCCGGCATAGAAGCCATACTATCCTTCATATCATGAAGAAAGCTTGCAAGAGGTAACAACA